GGGATGCAGGGAGGGAGAGAAGATAGACGATCAACTAGAAGACCCATCCTTCTTTGCCTCAGTTTCCTTTAATTCAATGAATTGTTCCAGAAGAAATTCAAAATTTGAGCATTGAAGACACTTGACAAAAAAATACAATCATTAAGAACCACCAACTGGGTCAGCTTCAAACACAAAATAAATTCTGTATTTAATGAAGTCAATAAAATGATAATGTGAGCAGTTCCCAAGTCAGTGCCTGCTTGTCTAATGCTGAAGAGCCCCACATCTTGGCTAATGTCTGTCACTGATCAGTAATGAGCAGATGAGTTTGTCTAGCCTCTGTGGACTCATAGTTCTTTAATGGTTGGTTTATGAAACAGAACTGAGGTGTTTATTCACCAACAGCCATTTCAACATTTTCCTAGTAGCTACTAAGTGAAATGTTGAGCCTAAGTTTATTTAAGTTTTTTTTTTAAATGTGCTAGGTCTCTAAAGGGGAAAGTTAAGGAAAGAAATCCCTGGTAGGCAAGAACAGGATTGCTACTGCCTATTAGCCAAAATTATGAGGAGAGTAGGGGACCTAGTTTGCCTTACTTCATACTTCTTGATGTAGATATATGTAGGTCATAGGGGAGTATATTAAGAAGTAAAATGATACTTTCTTTACCATTTCTAATATACTTTTTATAGTTTAGAAAATGCAATCCCTTTTTATATTAGAGAAGAAAATTAGTAATGTGAATATAGCCAGTGTTTCTTTAGAACTTGAGCACTGGGCTAAGCTGTGTAAAGAATACAGAGAAAACAAATAGGCCTTGCTTTACAGAGCTAACAGGTAAATTGCCTTTAAGATATTAACATGGAGCAGCAAATAATAAAAGATAAAATTTTATTAACTGGTGAATTGTATAGAGCAGATTAAAAATGGCAGTGGATGTTCAGAGAAGGGAAGTCCATGATAGGCTTGAGCATTCAAGGTATTACAGCAGGGGTTGGAACTTGAGCCTCGAAGCCTATGTAGGACTTAAACTAGGGAGAGGAAACGAGAGGAACCACGTGAGCGAAGACAGGAGCCACCGTGGCAGTGGCAGTGGAAAGGAAGGAATCATTATGAGAATGATTTCAATGGAACAAATAACAGGACTTAGTGACCACCTGGTCATAAGCAAGGTGCAAAAAAAGGAGAAGGAAGGTGCGGATATGATCCCAAGGTCTAGGTTAAAGGAAGAGAGTAATGTGTCACTGACATAGATGAAGAATTTGTAAAGGGGAACACATTTCCAAGAAAAGGTAACATTAATTTTATACGTTTCACATAAGATGGTATTATTTTGTGGCAAGATATCCAAATGGAAATTTTCATTATACAATTAGAGATGAGGGACTAGAGCATATTTGAAAATATATTACTAGAGAAATAGATTTGGTGGTCATCAGCATAGAAGTGATTGTCAAAGCTGTCAATTACAGTTGAACTGTTACAATTCCCTTAGAAAGAAAAGCAGAAGACTAAAAGCTAAATTTTGGTAAAAGGCAAGAGTGTCAAGGAAGAATGAAAGAATGGGAGTGGTTAGGAAGGGAGTGATCAACAGTGTCACAGCTGCAGACAAAGTCAAGAGAAAAAGTTCTGACAAGAGAACATTGAATTTGGCAGTAAAGAAGAGAAAATGAATTTGTCTTTTGCATAAATTTACTGAATAATAAATTATTTTCAGCAAAACAACAGCATCAAAAATCAGGTTTCAAAATTTCTTAAGAAAGGAGGGGATATTAGGGAAATGAAAACAGTGGAAAATCCATTTACTGGTGATAAGTGAAAAGAAAATAGCAAAGGTAAGAAATTGTAAAATAATAAAAATATTCTATACATTTTGAGGGATACATGTCTGTATCCACTACATATTTGATATCTAGTAGAGGAATGGCAGCTGGCAAAAGCTAAAATGGCAGCGGTCTCTGATTGAGGTAGGAACATATTATTGACATCGCATCTAAAAGGCATTTAGACAAGATGTGGAAATAGAGCTCTGCTTTATATCATGTCTACTTTCTAAAAATGAAAACTGCATCTATTTCTTTGTCACACAATAGGAATTTACTCTTTGTGTAATAATGGATTAAATACACCTTTCGACTAGTGATAGTCACTATTTGACTAGCTAAATGATTTAAATGAAATGTTTCTTGCACTATTGAATATTTGTCATGTCATTGTTTGCTGAGTTAGCACATAATTACAAATATATGTTTAATACTAGAGTGCCAGTTTTTCAAGCAGCAGATGAAAGTTGCCATAAATATTCATGCACAGGGATGTCTCATCTTGTTTTAAGTTTGGCTATACTTTAAATGTATAGATTTAAAGGGAAAGTGTTTGCATATTATATTCTCATTATATGTACTGACACCTGAACAGAAGTAATTAAGGATTTTTTAATGTAGTTAAGGTCTTTTTATAGTTGCTAATTAATTTTCTCAACTATTTGAAAATATGGGATTTGTTTTAAAATACATTTTGAACATACATAGTATAGTATATTTAGGCACAGGTATGTATCTTGCCACTAGCTGCTAAGTATAGAGAGTTTTTGTGCTTAAGACTGACTTGCGTCTTTGAAAATGGGCTATTAGCATAAATGATGCAAGGACAGTATGATATTCCTGCATAGAGTTGTAACTGTACATTGTATTCCTACCATTTCTTTAATGTGACCCTAAGACCAAAGTGCCATAAATGAGTTGAATCAAACAGTACAGTAGCTTATTATTCGACAAGGTTTTATTAAACACCTGTTAGGACAGAAAGGACTTAGGGGTAAACATTTGAATGTTGGTCCCCCCCCTCACTTACTAACTGCATGACTGTGGGCAAGTCATTTAATTAGTTTATTTTCAATTTTTTTTTCTGAGTGTCAGCTTCCTTGTCTATAAAATGGAGATGACAATACCTCTCTTGAAGGCTTTTAAAGTATAGAAGTAGTATATAGTCATGGATCACTTTTACATTCTGAGAAATGTGTCATTAGGCGATTTCATTGTGCAAACATCATAGAGTGCACTTACACAAACCTACATTGTATAATAGCCTACTACACGCCTGGGCTATATGGTATAGCCTATTGCTCCTAGGCTACAAACCTGTACAGCATGTTAGTGCACTGAATACTATAGGCAATTGTAACACAATGGTAAGTATTTGCGTATCTTAACATCTCTAAACATAGAAAAGGTACAGTAAAAATATAGTATGAAAGATAAGAAATGGTACCCATATAGGGCACTTACCATGAATGGAACTTGCAAAAATTGGAAGTTACTCTGGGTGAGTCAGTGAGTGAGTTGTGAGTGAATGTGAAGGCCTAGACATTACTGTACACTACTGTAGACTTGATAAATACTGTATCCTTAGACTACACTAAATTCATTTTAAAAATTTTCTTTTCTCAAGAATAAATTAACCTTAGCTTACTATAACTTTTTTACTTTATAAACTTTTTAAAAAGTTTTTTGGCTTTTGTAAAACACAAATACATTGTACAGCTCTATAAAAATATTTCTTCCTATCCTTATTCTATAAACTTTTTTCTATCTTAATTTTTTTTAAACTTTTTTGTTAAAAACTGAGACATACACATGTTAGCCTAGGCCTACACAGGGTCAGGATCATCAATATCACTGTCTTCCACCTCCACATTTTGTCCCACTGGCAGGTCTTCAGGAACAATAATACACCTGGAGCTGTCATCTCCTGTGATAATAGTGCCTTCTTCTGGAATACTTCCTGAAGGACCTGCCTGAAGCTGTTTTCAGTTAACTTTTTTTATATAAGTAGAAAGAATACACTCTAAAATAATAATTAAAAAGTATAGAAAGTACATAAGCCAGTAACATAGTCATCTATTATCAATATCAAGTATTGTGTACTGTATATAATTGTATGTGCTATGCTTTTATGTGACTGGCAGTGCAGTAGGTTTATTTACATCAGCATCACCACAAACACATGAGTAGTGCATTGCACTATGACATTACAAGCAGTACAACATCACTAGGTGATAGAAAATTTTCAGCACTATTATAATCTTACAGTACTACTGTCATATTTGCAGTCTGATGTTGACCAAAATATCAGTTATTATGCAGCACATGGCTGTATTTATATAGCACAGTGTTGAGCCCATGGTAAGTACATAGTTATTGGTAACTGTTATTGTTATTGCCTACTTCATGTGGAGTTCTCAATAAATGTTAGTGTCTTTTCCTTTTTGCTAACAACCTATTCTCCACTAACATAAAATTGTAGTCACTATGGTATGGTATCATCTAACATTCAGGAAGTGACCTTTGTTATCCCTATTGAAATCAACAAGCGGGTGAGTAAAGGCTTGTAAAATTGGTTTTTACTTCTTAATACAGATTTCAGTGAGTGTACTAAGAGAGAGATCTTTCAAGGCTAGGATCTGTTTTCTCAAAATTGGTTGAATTCACACATGAAAGCCATTTATTAGGATCAACCTTTGAGTGAATAGTCACTGGTCACAAGTTGTCAAACTCTATAGTTCCAGAGGCTGTATTAGTTGGAAAGGAGGTACTTTTTATTAGGAACATTTGCATACACATACACGAAAGTGCAAAGAATAGTCTGATGCACTCCCACGTACTACCCATCATCCAGCTCCAACAATTATCAACTAAAGTGGGTTTTGACAGAAACAATTAAATCAAAAATTGACATTTCCACCTGTATATATAAGTGTTTCTCTAATTTATTATTTTTTAATCCCACATTATGGGTCTAATTAGAATCCCACTTTAACATTTGTTCCTTGTTAAGCTTCTTTTAATTTGGATTGATAAAGATTTATTTTCTATAAGTATCATATAAAAATTTTTTTCAGTTCACATTTTTAAATCAAAAGACCAAAAGAAAAATGCATGAGCTTGTAACTTTTCTTTAAAAAAGGGAAAGAGTTAAATGTGCTGGGTAGAATATATTTTGTTTTGTCTTTGTTTTTAAGGTTTGGCTTGACCAACAAGTTTGATACTGAATTTCCCTCAGTTCTAACAGGGAAGGTAAGTGAGAACCTGCTTTGAATTTTTCAATTCTAAAGCATTGTTTTATGGCTTATTCAGTGTTAGGACAAATGCTTTGAATCATTGGTAATAAAGTTAAATAACAGGAGGCCTCCGTACTTGGAAGCTGTGTTGGTAGTGACTGAAAGCTGTCTCCATGACTGCCAGCCTCTGACCAATTATTTTGTCCATTGTCCATTAATGCCAGCTATTATTTATTTATCTGCTCAGCTTTTCCAGTTTTTCATTTTTTCCTCAGCACACGAAGCTATAATTGTTTTCATCTAGGTCAATAATTTCTTGTTTTTAGAGTTAAAGGTATTTTTTAACTGTATCACTCTATTAATTTTTAAAGTGCCATATAGTATGATTTATTATACATGAAAAAAATCAAATTTTAGTTAGATATTTTTCTGACTTTTGGATAGTTTTGAGTTTCTAAAATTGGACTCACTGTAATAAATTACCTTTCTTTTCCCTGGTTCCTCTACATTCAGTAGTATCTTCTAGCAAATTCAAAGACTTCCTAGAATTTGAAACTATAAGTCTAGAGACCTAATGTACAGCATGATCACTATAGTTAATATTGTATTGTATACTGGAAATTTGCAAAGGGAGTAGATTTCAGGTGTTCTTACCACACACACACACACACAAAGATAACTATGTAAGGAGATGAATATGTTAATTTGCTTGACTGTAGTAATTTCACTGTGTATATGTGTATATAATATGATGTCGTATACTTCAAATATATACAATTTTAAAAAAGAAACTATATTTGGAAAATCCTCTTATAACTGTAATGCTCACTTTCTAGGCCCAAAAGGAGAAGACTCTGCCTGGGGCAAAATGTTATTTACATTCCTTTGTTACTGGAGGAAATGTAGGAAGAAGAGAGAAAAGCCATTTGATTACAGAATGGTCAATGATTTCCAAATGGTTGATAGCTGAATGCTTGGGTGGCTAAAATGATGATTTGGGGTTAACTTTTTGTATTTTGGAGCCTGTAATTTAATTTCATTCTGTTTAATTTTAGTACTAGAATAATGTTATTTGTTAATATAGATTTTGGGTATATTTTCAAATTATTCCATTTTGAAAGGGCTTTTTGTACTATTTTAGTGTGAATTTTTCTCATATTGTTAGTGAGAAAAGCCAAGTACAAATCAATACATATAGTATTATAAGAAATGGGAGAAATAAGCACATTAATAATTGTTTTTTTGCATAAAGGAATTCTAGAAAGATATACATGAAACTAATAAAAATGATTGCCTTTGATGGGAGAAGGGGAATGAGATGGATGGAGGCAAGGGTGAGGAGGAGGCATTTGTCTGAATATCTTTTAGTATTGTTTTCATTGTTGAACCTTCATTTAGTTTTAATTTGTTCTCTCTTGTTCTAAACTCTTTGAGAATGGGCTAAGATGCTTCTACTGATACTGGCTTCTTTTTGTCATGATGCATTTTCCAGCTGTTTACTTTCCTCACTTTTGGCCTAATTGCAATCTTCTTCACAGCCTCCTGCGGTGGGTAGAAAAAGACAGCAGTCCTGTTTCTTTTTTCAAAGGAGTATCTGTGAAATCATAAGAAATTCTATTGAATTTGACCTTGAAAGTTATGTTGTACTTTATTTGCTTCATTTCCCCCCTGAAAAATCAGAGCTAGCTTGAGACAGAATAGTTAAGCAAGCTTTACAGTCAGATCAGGTTTGAAATCCGGGTTGTGTCACTTACTGGCTTTGTGGCCTTGGGCATGCCACTTTTCTGAGCCTCAGTTCTTATGTAAAAAATAGAGTTTGATGCTGATAGTTACCTCACTTCTTGTTTTAAGGATTAAATGAGAGAGCATACATAAAATTGCTAGTATATTGTTAGGTACTTATTAGTTTCCCAATGTTAGTTTGTGGTTGCTATTGACCGTTCTTTATCAGTGTATCCCAGTTTCACCCTGATTGTTTTTCCAATTTACTCACTGGCTTTCAATTTTTAGTTGCTTTCACTACTTTATCTAAATAATGGTGTTTTCTCTGATCCCACCACTAATTTGTCCGTATTGACTGTTTTTTTTTGTTTTGTTTTGTTTTGTTTGAGACAGAGTCTCGCTTTGTTGCCCTGGCTAGAGTGAGTGCCGTGGCGTCAGCCTAGCTCACAGCAACCTCAAACTCCTGAGCTCAAGCAATCCTTCTGCCTCAGCCTCCCGAGTAGCTGGGACTACAGGCAT